TTTTAAGTGTTTCTCTGCATTCTTGGACTTACTCTATACACCTCCCAGGTTACCTGTCCCTGCTTCCACCTTTTTATGCTTCCTTTTTATGTTTGAATTTTGTCAGGAGCAACTTGTTCCTCCATGCAGATCTCCTGGCATTTTTTAATAGCTTCCTTCTTGTTGAAATGGTTTGTGCTGGAATTTGGATGAGCTGATTTTTGAATATTAATCAGCTTTCTCAAGTCACTCTTCCCTCCAGTGCCTTATCCAGTAGGATTCTTCCAAGCAGATACCTGAAGAGTCCCAAGTCTGCTCGCCTGAAGTCCAGAATTGTGGTTTTGCTTTTTGCCCTTCTTCAGTCCCTTTGCAATCCTGAACGCCACTATCTTATGGTCAGTGCAGCCAAGGCCTTCACATTCCAGGAGAGTCTTTCCTTTTTTGAGTGTGACCAGAGCATCTCTTCTTACTGTTTTTTCTATCACTTGGAACAGAAGTTGTCACTGATGCTCTCCAAGATCCTCCTGCACTGTTTATGCCCGGCTGCATTCCTCAGATGGGTTGAAGTGACCCTAAGTGGGTCAGGATTATGAATGGGAGGCTACTTCAAGCTTCGAGCTGGAAACTGGAATAGGGAATTTCTCACGTCCAAGCTGGATTATGCTGCAATCCTGTGATGCTTGTTCATTTCTCAAATTGTCATATGATCATCTGTGTCTCTGCTCCTGTGGCTTAGAGATTTAAAGTTCAGCTGGCTGCAAGAGGTGACTTCCTCAAAGGGCAATATGCCATTAGTGTGGGGTTACTCAAATAACGGGTCATGGTCTATATGTAGCCCATCGGAATGATTTGTAGTTGAATTGGGTTTCCATGGCCAGGTTTTGGTAGCTGGGGACGGAGCAACAGTGGTGAGTTCTGTGATGATGCCTTAAGCCCCCTAATGTTTTTTATTTTTCTAATTTTGTAAGCCTTATAAGTTTTATCGGTAATAGAAGTAGATTTTAGAAACAAACCCCTTTCTCCCTCCTCCCTGTAACACCCCTTAGTTATACATTCCTTAATCCTCTCACCCCATTCCATACCCCCCATATCAACCCTATTCCCATATCCAGTAGAAGATGTTTTGTCTCTTGTCAAGGCAAGCCTGTCTTGTTTGGAGAACGCTTATATCTTGGCCGAAACCGCAGGACAGAGTCAAAGAACTGGGTAACTGCTCTCTGTACCCCGAAGATGATGAAGAATGATGAAGAGGGGGTCCCAAAAAGCCCCCTGACCCAATTCCAGGAGGCGGGCCAGGGGGTGGACCAGGCCAAAAGTTATAGGGTGGACACACTTGGGATTGGCCAGATATTGTTATAAATGTAACATCCCGGGCACAGCCCAGCGCGCGCGTCATATACTATCTATTGCCTTGGCAAAATTAAACCCTTTCTTATCTCACCCCAGCTTACGGCTCCTAGATTTTTTTCTTAGCACCAGCTGAGCAGGCATCAGTGAGAACTGTCCTCATTGTCTGACAGAGCCAATGCCAGCCAGCTCCAGGATGGACCCACTGCTGGCCAAGGCTGAGCCAATCAGAAATGGTGATAACGCCTTTGTGATAACATATTTAAGAAGGAAAAAAAAAAGTTATTAGGCATATATAGGTGTAGCCAGGGAAGAGAGGATAGAAAATTTGTGAGAGGAACAACTATGCAGGCACCAAGGTCAGTGGAGAAGGAGTGGGAGGACGTGCTTCAGGCACTGGAGCTGAGATTCCCCTGCAGCCTGTGGTGAAGATCACAGGGAAGCAAGCTGTTTCCGTGCTGCCCAGGGAGGTCAATCGGAGTGTAGAGATCCACCTGGAGCCCATGGAGGAGACCCATACCAGAGTAGGTTGATGCCCAAAAAGGAGGCTCTGAACCCATAGGAAGCCTGTGCTGGAGCAGGTTCCTGGCAGGGTCCTGTGGACCATGGAGGGAGAAGCTCACTCCAAAGCAGATTTCCTGGTAGAACTTGTGACCCTGTTGGGAACCCACACTGGAGAAGGCTGTTCTTGAAGGACTGCACCTCGTGGAAATGTAACCCACTTTGGAGCAATTTGCGAAGAACTATTATCTGTGGGATAGACACATCTTCACATCTGAGAAGTTCATGAAGGACTGTCTCTAGTGGGAAAGACTCCATGCTAGAGCAGGGGAAAGACTTCTTCCTGAGTAGCAGGAGGAATAATTTGTGATGAACTGACCATAACCCCCATTCCCTGTCTCCCTGCACTGGTGCCAGGGGAGGAGGTAGAGCCTGAGAAGGAGGGAGGGCAGGGGGGAAGGTGTTTTTAAGATTTATTTTACTTCTCATTATACTACACTCTGATTTTGTTGGTAGTAAATTCAGTTAATATCCCCAGGTTCAGACTGTTTTGTGATGGTATTCAGTGAGTGATCTGTCGATTCTCATCTCAACTCATAAAACCCTGTCCAGTTGTGGAGGGAAATGATAGAGCAGCTTTGGTGGGCACCTGGCATCCAGCCAGAGTCAACCCACCACAGCAGACCACTCTGAACTTTAACCGTTCTAAGGAGACCATCAGTAGTGAGGGGTAGTCAAATGCCCTAATGGGTGCAGCCAGATGCCAGCCTCCCTCTTTCCCAAAATTGTTAACACCCCTCCATAGTATGTAAGCACTTCTTGCTGGAAGATAAGGAAAATGGTGACAAGATGCTGTTAGCCTCTTCAGTCCAGGTCATCCACATGATTCTTGCCCATGTTTGACAAAGTCTCAGATTAAGATTTACTTTTTATTAATTATTTTCATTTTTTTCTGAGTGGGCTGGGTGAAAATGGTATAAGGGCTGTCTTGAGTATTGTCCTCAACAGCATTACATGAGTAGGATGGAAAGATAAACTTGATGTGCATTTAGTTGCCTCTCCTTTCCTTTTGTACCACTGTCCACTTGGTCCTTTCCAATATTATGAGAGAAAATATGGATTCAAATGCAGAATCTTCTCTCTAACCTCATTCTAACTCTGGGTGCTTATAAGGTATTGAGAGAATTTGAACAAGTATTAATACTTGTAATAAGATGAGAGCTAAGCTTAGTACATAGCATGAATTCCAAAAGAGGGATATAGATTAAGTATTTTTCTTTATGTGCTGGAAATAGAAAAGCTTTTTATATGTTGGTAAACTAGCTCTTTTCTTCATGGGCTGTTTAAGTTTTTCTACTGAGCAAATGACATATTCTAATGCGTTTTGGTTAGTTGAATCATTCTGCTTTAGTCTTGTTGATTGTTGACCATTAGAATATGCAGTTCCCTTCCTGACTGTTTCCTGTGAATGAGGCCCACAATCCACAACAGGATTACATTGTAGTTTTACAAGATCAGACAAGTGTTGTTAGGTGTTTGGAAATTTTACATTTTGTTTACAGGAAAGGTAAAAAACCTGTTTACATTCAAGTTGTATATGGTTTCTGGAGCAACTGTTTATGTCAATACATCAATGTAAGGTTACTGCTATATTTACCCAATGGCATCTAATTGAGAGTTTTTATCTGATTCCTCCTGTTTTCAATTGATGATTTCCTCATAGAGTAAATGTTTTTCTCCATTTCAGTGTAAAACAAGAGTAGTTATCAGTGAATCACATAAAATGTAAACAGAAAGAAATTAGCTACTATTGGGCATTAGGAATGTGCAGAGTTTGGGAAGAAAAGCTTCTTTGGGGAGACCAAGGCATTTCTCTTGTCCTCTCAGCTCTCAGCTGTGCTGGATGTTCCCTCAGTAACACATCAGTTCTTGCTTCTATTTCCTTCACCAGCTTGATGAAAGATGGAGAGTTAGGGCAGCCAAGAGAAATAAATTTCATGACATCATTCTCTGGTGGATATGTGTAAGTTAATTAGTTATGCTCAATTTTATTCCTTTGTTCTCTAATCTGTCTAAACTATGTTACAGGCTCCACTGATCTGTGAAGACTAAATAATGTGCAGGCTTGTACATGGTATTTTCTGACTAGGAAGAAAAAACTCTTGTTTATTTCTCTTAACCTCTGTTGAGGAACCTTAACCATGGGAAGAAAATGAGAAACAGGTCTGATACAGAACTAAATGTTTACTGATGTATTTTTAAACAAGTGAAGTGTACTGACATTGTCAGGTGAAGACAGTATAAACATTGCTGCAGACTTTTAATTGTGTATTGGCTAAGAAGTGGAAATCTTTTATTTTTCTCAAGTGTATAATACGTCTGGTGATTAATCTAGTATCCATTTAGGAGTGCAAGACATCGACTCTGTGCACACTAAGTTCTTTCATCCTCAGGCCAAAAACCATTTTGCAGGCGTAATGCAAGGATGCCTACAGAGATGTGTGGGTGTATATAAACTCTAACCTGAACATCTTGTAGTGTTCTCAAGTGGGAGGGCAATTTCGCTTCTTCATTGATTTTACTGATCTCTCCTATGAGCAAGTAGTGCCATTTCCTTCAACCTGTGATGAATTGCATGTGCTATACAATGTGTGCTATTGTTCACTAGAGGATTAAGCAGGAGCAACAAACCTGCTTCACTTTCCTCAAGTCTTTCATGAGTGGCAGACACCTGCGTCATCTTAACATTTTGATACATAGAAACAGCCTTCCGGTTTTTCTAGAGGAGACTACCTAGATTGACAAAAATGCTTACACTGCATTTGGATTGTTTACAAAAAAAATCACTGTGTTGCTTATGCTGAAATCTTCAAAAGCAAAGAAATTTTGTGTGTATTCTCAGCACTGTTAAATTAAGCTGTTCTGATTACCTGCAGTAACCATGGTATCTAAAAGTCTGGATTACTGCAGTAGTTCTTTGTCTGGGATATGGTACATACTGTACTTGGATTTTAATGAAGCCATTTATACAGATTTTATATTTTCTCATAAAACTCCTCAAGGTGAATGAAAACAAGCGTGGGCTGAATGTTTGCGCTTTTCAGTGCTCTTTCTGTTACAGAATCTTGCTGGCTTTCTTAATTTCTAACTTATGCAGTTTCTTTGTCTTTTAGAATGTCGGGTGGTGAAATCCACTTCCTATACAAAAATAGCATCGACTTCACGTAGGAGCACCACCAAGAGCCCAGGCCCATCCCGACGCAGCAAGTCTCCAGCTTCAACTAGCTCAGGTAAAGCAAGTGAGCAATCTATCTTAACAACAGCAACCATTCTGTTTCAATACAGTGGGCAATGCATTTAAAATTCCACCTTTCTGTGGAAAAATGTACATATGAAACAACTAATAGTAAAATTCAGTTATTTTCTCAAGTGTCTTCCCAATACAAAATAAAACTTCAGTGTTTTATAAGTCATACTCTGGCATTACCGTGGTTCAATTCAAATAAGGTCTTTGTGGGGAGATGGTGATCAGAACGGCCCAATGAGAGAGAAACTCTGAGAAGGAGGAAAGTGGGAGAGACACAATGAGACACAATGAGACACAATGAGACACAGAGACATAGATGTGGGTAGCAGGGCTGGTAGGCAATCTGCCTCCTACACATCCTAAGAACAGCTGAAATAAAGAAACCTGAAAAGAGGTAATGGGATGAAGTATCAATTGTGAGGAACAAGCCCAGAGTAGCTCTTTCTTAAACATGTCAAGTAACTTTCTTTGTAGCTAGGTGGAACAGAGTTAAATTAAACTTCAGCAAGGGAGGCCTTGTTTGGTGTGTAAATGTTACAGACTCTTTCTGGGTTTCTTTTGTAATGAATATTCATTTGTGACTACAGGTAATGGACGCTGAACTCCAGTGTGTGCTCATTTCTAAGTGAAATAACTGTTCTGCTGTGCATAACAAATTTATGGGACTTCTATGGGACTAGCAACATTTTTGCTATGTTGACTAAGTGGTACCAGGTTGGGTTTGATCCTGAGAGAAATAGTACTGTTTTTATTTTGTGCTGGAGAAGTGTAGGTGAGTAAATCTTAACTTCTTGCAGTTCACTTTTATAAAGGTCTGACCAGAATACATTACATATTCAACCACTGCAATAGATCAGGAGATTATTTTAGAGCTTGTGGGGGAAAAAAAAGGAATATTTTCATTATAACACAATAATAATTAATATATCATTACATTTATGGAAAGAAAAGAAACAGTGTAGGGAAAATATTAAAAATGCAAACCATTTCAGATGGGGCTGTGCTGATGACAGATGTAACCATCTCAAAAATTTCTTATGTAAAACCAATACATTTTTAGGAAATAGGGACATATTAGTTTGACAAAATATGGTCCATGGCCTGCCTATTTGACATAATCATTTGAACACTGCAATTAAGTTTTCTTAAAGAAAGTGTTGGACAAAGCCTTACAAAAATGTATGGGGTGCTGACAGAACAGGCTGTCAACTGGTAGGAGCCTGGGTGAAGAACTGGCAGCAAGGCAGGGCTCAAAGGATTGTAATGAATGGGGCTACATCTGCCTGTCAACTGGTCAGCAGCAGCATTTCATCAGGGGGCAATTCTAGGGCCACTTTTATTTAATATTTTTATCGATGATCTGGACGCAGGAGTTGAATGGACCATTGACAAGTTTGCTGATGCTAACAAACTGGGAGGTGCTGTTGACTCTCTCAAGGGACAAGCTGCCTTACAAAGGGATCTAGATAGATTGGAGCATTGGGCAATAATTAATGGGATGAAATTTAACAAGAAAAAATGCTGGATTCTGCACCTGGGATGGTGTAACACTGGGCACAAGTATAAATTGGGAGAGGAATGGCTGGAGAGCAACACTCCAGATAGGATCACTAAAAGTCAGCCATATGCCCTGAGAATCAAGAGAGCAAACTGCATTCTGAGATTTGTCAAATACAGCATCACCAGCCAGTCAGAAGTGGTGATTATCACAATATATTTAACAATGGTGCAACCTCACCTTGAGCACTGTGTGCATTTCTAGGCTCCACAATTTAGGAAGAATGTGAAGGTACTCAAATGTGTCCAGAGGTGTACAATAAAGCTGGAAAAAGGGCTGGAAGGCACGTCCTATAGGGAACAGCTAAGGACTTTGGGCTTGTCTGGTTTGGAGAAAAGGAGGGGCTGAGGAGCGACCTGATTTCTCTCTACAGCTTCCTGAGGAGGGGATATGGAGAGGGAGGTGCTGAGCTGTTCTCTCTGGTATCCAGTGACAAAACACGTTGGAATGGTTCAGAGGTGCACCATGGAAGATTTAGACTGGACATTGGGAAGCATTTCTTTACTGAGAGGTTTATCAAGCATTGGAACAGACTGCCTGGAGAAGTGGTTGAGTCACCATCCCTGGAGGTATTTAAAAGATGTGTAGATGTGGCACTGAGGGACATGGTTTAGTGGTGGACTTGGCAGTGCTGTGTTACCAGTTGGATTTGATGATCTTAAAGGTCTTTTCCAACCTAAACAACTCAATGATTCTATAAGTAGGAAGCATTTCTTTACCAAGAGGGTGATCAAAGACTATGTGGTGGGTTGACCCTGGCTGGATACCAGGTGCTCACCAAAGCTGCTCTATCACTCTCCTCCTCAGCTAAACATGCTGAACTTTTGGTCATCCCTGAATCGGTCAGGCAGTTGGATTAGATGATTGTTGTAGGACCCTTCCAACTATTCTATTCTATTCTATTCTATTCTATTCTATTCTATTCTATTCTATTCTATTCTA